TTTTTTTATTTTTCTTCGATTTGGTGATGAAGAAGGATGGTAAAAGCTTTGAGTGGAATCATTTAATTGTCTGATTTGTCTGACAATATATTTTGGTTTGTTTCAGTTCTTATTTTTGAAAACATAACTGGCAAATACTACCCTCTTTTGTACCTTAACAAGTATTGGAATCTAGCAAGTGATTACATGCCCATCAATGAGACAACAAAGTAAGTTAAAATAAATCATTTTTCTTTGATGAATTTTGAAAAAGGGAGGGCTTGTCTTTAGTATATAAACATGCTAATGCCACTGCACCTCTGTGCATTCATATTCGTGGAGTTAGTCCTGTGAAGCAGAGCCTAAAAACTCCTAAATGTAAATGTCTTCACATCAATTGCAATCACACAGGGACACCATGTGCATGTTCACAGGATGCCCATGTGCATATGAAATACACTGAAGCTTAGTATGCTCATCTTAACAAGTTGAAGCCTCAAAGCTTGTGTGGCAGGTATAAAGTGGTGGATGGGAGGAGAGGGATAGGGAGAAGGGATTTAGATCCATGCTTTTGGACCTGTGTCACAGGTTACACCCTTTCTTCACTCTTGAAACCATGTGAAGCTTGTAATGTTGTATTCTATTTTTCTTGCAGGACCCTTGAGTTGCATCTAACATACAGCCCCATATCACTGTTCAAATGGCAAATGTATGAATCTCAGAGAATGAGACAGAAATGGTTTTCATTGTTAGGCGATGAACCAGAACAGACCGAAGAGGAACAGGATTCTATTAAGGTAAATTTCCACAAATATGGGGAGAGAATATCAAACAACGACACTGCTACCTGATCACGTCCTTGTTAAAAGTACCTTTTAAATAAATTGTGGACATCTTTTGGGGAATGTTACTACCTATAGCATTGATTGTTATACCATAGTTTGTCTAACAGAAAATCAAAACAAATAAGGTAGGAAAAATGCTTTTAACTTCAGCAGGGTCAGCTTTGTCTGTAGAGCTTTCTTCTGCAGAGTGGGTTGTTGTGGGTTCGATTCCTGTGATTGGGCCAATAAAGGGTCTTAAAATCACTGAGTAAGAAGTTGCTGCCTTTGCCTTGCAAATGCCTACACCTGTGCATGGTTCAGCTTAGTACTTTTGTGCTAAAAAACATTTACACTTACATTATGTTGTTTTTGTTGTTGTTTTTTTTTTTGCGTTAGCAACTCCTTTCTATTTGGATATAAAATACCTCGCTGATATGTTTCTTTTATTAAAAAAGTTCAAAAAATATTGAAAAAACAATGACATTTTAATGTTCAACTAGCTTCATATTTATCTAGTCAAAAAATAAGAGTTGAAAAATGTAAATACTAAATAAACAGTGCTACACATGCTATTGGAGCAGTATTTTATATCCAAATGTTTATTGAAATCGTCTGAACTCCTTTCTTAATCGGACTTTGCTCAGTAACGTACATTGTAGAACCTGACTGGTCCCCTTGTTGCGGGCAACAAGAGGAGCCCACAATCCTAATCTCCAGGTTGTCATTATGCATGCATCGCATGTTTGTAGTCAGTATTCGTTTGGACTTCCACTAAGAATGAATGGAATGAACAAAATGCAATTTGATCATGTGCGTTTCGACTTTCTACCCTCGTAATCTGATCACCTGTGTTTTGATCATCTGTCACGTGAAACTTATGCAAAGCACAGCA